ATTTTTTTTGTATTTTTTTATAGTTTTTCTGATCACAACTATTGTACACTGTTAGTCAGACAGCTGTCCCTTACAGACGGTGGCAAGGTTATCTGGAGTGTGATAAATACGGTGTATCATAATGAAATATGTAGCCGGCCCACCTGAAAAATTCTTAATGGTTGCATGCACAAGATGAAATTCATCTGCAAGAGTTAACAATTTGCTTCCGATGGGAGCTCAATACTTGTTCACCATTGGAAGAATCATTTTCACTTGGTTTAGGCGCTCTTATTCCGCCCCACAGGGAGTTTGAGCTCTGTGTAAGAACTGAGGAATCCTGACCTCTGAGCTGAACTGCTAAATCAAGATGAGCTGGAAGAAGTCTGAAGATGTGTTTCGCTTGCTTAGTTACCCTCAAGGCTATTTCCTGTCACAGCTCCTCTTTACACTGACAGAGAAGGATAGCCCCTTGGCAGATTGTTTTGGCCACTGGCCCATACATGCATTGAACTTTAAAGTTGGCGTCTGTTTTTTGTGTGTGAGTGGAATCCACTCCAGGGAAGTTCAGTTTCACGAGTCTTCTACATAGGTTACTAAACCTATAGGTATACTATAAGCACTACCCTCAGCCTGATAATATGAATGTCTCAACCACATAATAACACAAATCATGTCATGTTCAGTGTGTTTAGACAGGCTAATTGTAGCTAACCCCTTTTATGCACCTGACTGTACAGCAGCCCGTTACATCTAATCCCAAGTGCAAACTGCTATTACTGTCAGTCAGCGTGTAATCAGCATGTAGTGTCTGGTCTAACTCGAATAATGAAACAACTCAAATGGTGGAGAAGCTGCAGGTGTGGTTGAGAGAGCTGAGAGGAAAATTGTGCCATGTTGGTTTTGTCACACTTCAGGAAACCAGATGCACAAAATAATTAAGCTAAATGTGAATATAATGTAAAGACACAGAATTATACAGTTGAGGGCATATTTCAGACAAAGCACTCTATAGCTTTAGTGTTCGTTAATGGCACTCCATGACCCAAAACATCCCCCAGATGGAATTAGATAATGGTTACCATAAATGTGTCATTGAAATGGTACTAATGATTTAGTATGCCATATATTTTGTATTCGCAGGAAATGTGAAACAGCCTGTTTTACCTTGTTTTTCCTTTTTGGTACACAAATGCCTTTTGTTCTTAACTACTGAATATGTAAAGTAAATGTTTCTTAGATATAATCATTGATTTTCTGTTTAGTATTCAGTCTAGTTCACAGATAACTTAACTTGAAAATAAGTTGTGAGTAAATGTAATGATTCATTGTGATATGGTTTTCAGGTCATATTGCCCACTTCCATGCAGTGTCACTATTGACTATAGTGAAGCGATTTACCAAAAATACAGTACTGTTATCCATGTTATCATCTTCCTTTTTCCCACTTTTGAGTTTCCAAACACTTGAGTTGCCTCTGTGTTTTACAGTATTTGAGTTGCACAGCATAGTTTTCCATTGTCATCTATCTTTAGAGTGGCACACTTTACACCGTCCTGTTTTCTCCAGAGTCGACAATAAAGATAATGAAAACTGATGATTCCCCGTCACAGTGGCTTAGACCTATTGTCTAAAACATTCTTGTCGAATTCAAAATCAAAACTGAAGTCACTTGTCAACACATCACAGCTGTCGCGGCGCTTACAAAGGTCTACCGATTGAAAAGGTCACTTTTCCCAGAATAGATTTGGAACATTTTGAGTAAAAGGCAGTTTAATCTCAAGGAGAACCAGTAAGTGTAAATGTAAAAGTCTTCTGAGTGAATAATGCGAGGGTGTTAAAAATGCAGCTTACCCTCTCAGTGACACTGTGCTGATTCAACTCACTGAAGTGTACTTTTCACTTTTTTGACAAGTTTGAAGCACTGAATTGAGTCGAGGAACTCATGTTTGGTTTCTTGAAGAAAAAATTATGAATAGATTTTAGTTTCACCCACCTCAAGATTTAGTTTGTTGCTGTCTGTTTTAAGCAATTGTGTGGACATGGTCTTGACTCATCCCTTGGGCATCACCAAGTTTCCTTGCTCATGTTTTGGGGACTGATCAGAACTTCCACTTTCATATTGTACTATATTGGGATTATGCGGCCATCAGCTATTCAAGGAGCTGGACTCTCCGGTCCATATGCTTTTCAGTTCATTTTTCCCATTAAAAAGACAATAATATTTCAACAAACCTCTACAGAAACAAGTATAAAAACACAGTTGTGAAGCGGAAGCAGAAGAGTGCTGTGAGAGAATGCTCTTAGCTGGGATGAGAGGATTTTCAGGAAGCAGGGATGACCAGAGTAGAACCCCTGTGGTGCTGGATTGGCAACTGGGCCCCAGGAGACGTGGGGAAATAGTGGGATTTTGCTTTACTTAAAGACAGCCAAAAGTCTAACTGCAGCCGGAGTGCACCATTTCAGTCCATTTAGTAGAAAAGAATGTGTTATCTTACAGACAACAGGTTGTATATGAGCATGACCACAAGTATTCAAAGGAAAGCTTCATGGTACATTTTATTTCAAGAGAAATACATAACTTCACAAAACAGACTGTGCTTTTTTTGTGCTAATTAACACAATCAAGTGCAACAAAAAGCACACCCACCACAAAACCACAAAGTAGTTTTGCTTTTAAACTATGTTAACATTAGAACGCGTCTAACACACACTTAATGAATTGAATGCACATCTAAACTAGCAGAGTATACCAATAACTAAGATCATTAAAACTAAAACTTTTGACCCAACAATCCTGTACCAGAAGATCTAAGAGCTCTGGGTCATTTCTGAGAAGCCTATTAGAGTTACTGTGGTGCAAGGCCATGCAGGGCTTTTTGGACAATAAGTACAATTTTGTAATCAATTCTAAAATTACCTGGCCGCCAATGCAGTGCCAGGATGATTTTTTCCCCTTTTTGTTATACCTCTGGCTGTGGCATTCTGAATTAACTCCTCACCCAGACTTTTGAGAGAGCGCAGTGGGGAAGAAAGCACAGTAATCTAATCTACTAGAGATGAATGCATGATCAGGTTTTTTTCTGTTTTGCATTCACTGAAAGTAGGACTAAAATTTTCACAGCCATTCCTCTGAGTAGGAATTGGGCAAGATAAACTAAAGAAATCTTCCAGGCTCAGAGATGTCTCATCTAGAATCAATAAAATCCTGCGGGTGCTTGATGGATTGCCTGAGCCTTTAGTCATTAGCACCTACATCGAGAATTACATCATGGGCAGTTCAATGGATTTTGTTAGCCTCATAATCAGACTGAATAGCCAGTCGGCAGTGACTCACGTAACGTTCCTGTCAATTTTCAGTCGATATAAGTAGCTAGTGGCAGCTAGCAGCAATCACTGTTTATTGTCCTGAAGAAATACTGTATGCCGCTTTAAGAGTTATTTCTGTACAGTAAGTCGACTTACAGCAGCTTGTGTAGTTGCGTCAGTGTCATCCACGTTTCTGGCCATTGTCTCTTCACAATTTATTTTTTCCTCTGACACAAAAATGACATCCCCATTCTTAATCCCTCCCTACAATGCTCTGATTAGCTTTCAAACCAGCTAAACAGCTGTCAGTGAGCAACACTGTCCTCCAGAGAACAAGAACCAGTGCACCAGTTCTTTCAGCAGTTCCCCAAAACAACATATGATTATGTTCAAGAAACAAAGCCCTTTATCGACCGTAGTAATTATGTTTGGAGCAAAGGAGGAAGTCAAGTGACGTTATAGGCCGACAAAGTCCGTGTAGGGAGGAGGTTGGCTACCGGGCGTTGAGATGTTGTATGTCTGTTACTAAAGGAGGTCATTTATACGATACTCAGTGGATAATGGCTCAGGTTTGATTCTGAATATGAGATTTGTGGGTTGTTGTTGTGGAGTGGTAAAATCATACATGCAGCTGAGACTATAAGCAGCTTGGCAAACAGTCAAACCACCAACAAACCAGAAAATGTACATGGGTTGGGACATTATTTTGTGTTTGTTTTCAATGGAAGACATGAAGGGGGACATAAACCCAGTTTAGGTAGAAAAAACAAAATGACTTGCATATTTTCATTAATGAATTAATAATTTGACATGATGTTGAGAAACACAAACACACATTGAACAAAACCAACAAATAAGTAAATTCATTTTTATGATGAGCTGATAAACATTCCACAGACCTGGGAACTCTGATGGAGATTCCTCTTTAAATGGAAAAAAAATATGGAGACCTTGTGAAGGTCAGTGGCAAAGCAAAAGCACTGCCTCTAACATTATCTGTATTCATCATTCAAGTATACATACTGTATACCAGAACTACTATGACTGAAAAAAAACCTTTCCTGTTGGTTTGACTTGTTCAGGTAGCTGTTTGAGTGTGAGTCAACACTACGACAAAAGGGAGAAAAGCTCCCCTCAGCTTTGAGTGGAATGCACAGCTGGGGGTATTTGTTGTCTGTCAAAACCCCTCAAACCACATGAGAAAACAATAGAATTCACTTGCACACCTCTGAAGTAAAAATGTTTATTGTATGTGGTTTAGCCTGGCTCAGCGGAACCACAGATGTGAAGTGCTTCTGTATTTATTTCAAATCGAGGAGGCATGCTGCTAATGTTTCATCAATAATACAAATCCCCTTGTTGCATTTGCTTGTCAGCCAACGGTCTTTCTGTTTGCACACTGGGGGAGAACCTAAATGAATTCTGCTTCGCTCGCATTGGAATTACAGTTCAACCTAGCATGACTGAGGTTGACATGGAATATCAGTTAGTGTTTAAACTGGGTCAGGTTGTACATTAAAGCTGCATTAAAGTTCCATTTTTTTCTAGAGAACACCATTCTCTGGAGTGTGTGTGTGTGTGTGTGTGTGTGTCTGTGTGTATAGTACTGGTAGTAGTCTTCTGAGATGCAGTATGTGACATGAGCATAAACGTGTTTGCACGCATTTCTCACAATTTCAATGGACTCATTCAGACCTTTTTTTATTCATTAGATGTTCAACACAATGTTCTCCTATGTGCTTATTCACTGAAAGACATCTGCCTCCAGCTCCAACAGGTGATTAAAAATATATTTATATATTTTCTACCTCCTGCATCTAATCTTTTTAAAGGGTTTGCAATCTTTCTGGGAACATTTTACTCAAAAACTGTGTCGCTAGGATCTGGTAATGCGAAGAAATCACAACAGTGGTCAACAAAAATGATTTTTATCCACAACACAGTGATTAAAAAAAAAGTGCCACTCATTATATATAGTGTGTTTCTGCTGCATGAGTCTCCTCTAAGACTTACAACAATTACACAGTATCAATAAAACAGGAAAACAGAAAGCAAGTTAAGAATCCAAGTGAAATTATTCTACATATGAAAATAATTAACAAAGTAGCCTACAGTGGGAACGAAAACAAAACTGTCACAAACACACAATACCAAAACAATAAATATATCCAACTAAAAAGGGTTCCAAAAAAGCAATAACATTTAACATTCATGTTGGATTCATCCACTCCTCTACCCGCTTCGTGCCTCTCCTCTCCTCTCCACTCCCTCCTGTGTCCTCGCCTTCCCCAGAGTTACAGTCTTGTTTGGAGCCTCTGCGAATCACCTTGTAACTGTACTCCTTGTTGTCAAAGTAGTTGAAATGGTACCCCCTGCTGCAGCCCTATGGGTACCCCCCTTTGAGAAACACTTTTCTAACGGCAGCCATGAAGCCAGTGAATCGATCAAATAACAAACATAAACGATGGCCCAATTTATAAAAACAAGGTCCAGGTTGTAAAAAAAAAGACTTTTCTATTACCGGGATTATCAGTGATCTAGGGTAGTAAAAAGTCTCAAAATTAAAATTATTATTAGGTCTAAATCTCCAGTACAAGATTCCTCCAGTGCTGCACTTCGTGTACTATACAGTTCATGGTGGTGTTATTTAAAGCACACGTACATAATCTTCTCCCATTGTCATTTAAGGCTGTAAGAGCACTAATGTACCATGAAGGATGAGCTATTTAGAAAGCCTAGGAGTCACAATGTCTCTGTGTGTTATTTTAAACAACCTATTTTCTCAAATCTTTTCAAATGTGAGGCATTTTGTCCGTGTGTAGTTTTGTGTCGATCAGGGTTTAGGATGCCAGCTTGTACCTGCTGTACACACAACCTGACATCTGCCCCGATGCAGGCAGAGTCCTCCCCCCTCAGGAAGCAAGATGGGCCTGAGCCAGTCTGGTGCTATCTGTATGTTCCCTGTCTCTTATCTACCACTTCCAGCATGTTGCGTCCTGGATCTGTGCTACTGCCTACACGATGGTGTTTCGTTATCAGGAAACTTCAAGGCCCAGAGGGATGTAAAAGGTTCGAGATCTCTGGGAAACTTTCTTTTTTAATGAGCATAATAATATGGGAGTGTAGGATGGAAGGTGCTGCCCGCCATGACCTCATCCATTAAAACCCACCAAATTCTGCACAACAGCTCCATCCACTGATACTAACCCCCGATTCCCCCTTCTAGGACCTGGAGCGATCTGAAGAACAGATTTCAGTATGCAGTTGGTCATGACTCTATTCACTGGACATATTGTATATCTTGGACTTCGATGTCTTATATTGAATTTATTAAACAACCTATTATAACACCCATTTTTCTTTTAGTAGTTACAATTTTCCCTTCTTCATGTGCAGCCGTAGCCGTCTGAGGAGTGTGTATTTTGGGAGTTTTTTGTTATCTTGAGATCTTGAGCTCGGTTCATGTGTTGGGCCTGTAAATCCTTTCGAGTCATATTTAATATTGTACCATATAAATATATTTTACTTGACTTGGAATATTATATCAGGGCCTCTTTGAGTTTGTTTTGGAGTCGACTTTCTGCCGAGCTGTCAGAACTTGCCTAAGAAGATTAATCCAGTAGACCTCCCGCCTTCAACAAGTAACCCACCCCTGTCCTCGGGACTTCAAGCTTCTCATTGCCAGTGTATCTTAATTATTATTTTTGGGTGATTGGCTTCCACTAATGAGGAGGAACAGTGTAAATTAATTTCAGCTGAATGGTGCTGTGATCCTCTGCCATTTTCTTTCACTTGTTTCTCCAACGTGCAGTTACTACACCAACTAGTGCAGCATACATTGAAGCTTTTTACAGGAGGGTTGCCTGCCCACTACAGCAGGTACAGACACAATTATTTGCTTCCAAGGCATTTATACTGCTAGTCATTTAAATAATAGAATTCCCAACAACTTAACCATGTAAAAATGTACGTTTCATATTGTGCCCAGCATCCCAAACACCTGTTTTTATATTAAGATCTATTATGTAAAACCACATTTCTAAAATCTAAACACCTCGCTTGAGGGGAAATTAAAATGACAGTTGTTTTTTTTATCTATTCTCCTACATTATTCATGATAATATATACCGTGAGATGCCAAAAGGCACCCATTTGAAAACGTCTAACCCCTGGGAGAAAACCCATAATCCATTATTCCTCAGCGGGAGACAGAAATTTCATCATGTCAGCTTTGTTTTTACTGAGATTGAAATAACATTATAATGAATTAAATGATTTGAGGTTTTAGAAGATCTTCATTTTCAAGAAGTAATAAAAAAGGTATGTTCCCTCCATCACTCCTTTTTTTATGCAGTTGCTGGACAATTGCAACTTTCCACTGCTGGTAGAGATTTTTTTCTCTCTCTGTGGACGCAAAGATCAGATTTTTGCTGAGGCATTTGACTTAGGTGCTATTTTAACAGTGCTAGCTCCATGAACTTGCAGGGCAAAGCAATAAATAATATGAACTCAGAATCTCTGCAAACACTGCCCCGTCTTTGTGTGTATTATCATTTGTGTTGTCTCCAGTGCCTCCACATTTTAAAATTTCAAAATGTGCGTGCATTCAGCAGAATATGTCGAAAAAAATCTTGCATACTGTACTCACGCAGCCCTTGTTAATGTAAGACCTTCCACATTCATGTAATCTTTTTTGCCCTTTATATCTATCTCTGAATGTCATTTCCCACTAATTCCTCAGGCGCTTTCCTGATAACTATGCAATACTACAGGGTAGCACATAATAGAAAACTTTGCCCCTCATTTATCAAGTGAGTTCAGCCACTTTAATCTTGAAGAGAGTGTTTTCATTTTTTAATGCAGTAATTTCAGCTTTGACATTCTCAGATATTCTGATAAAAGCCAAACTACATTGATGGTTTTGAAGAATCTCCTCAATTCTAAAATGTTAAACCAGGAAGCATGTGCGAAGAAACTTGACGGACAGCAGAGATATAGCGTTCTGGTCAATGGGACTGAAGGCTTTTTGATTTCAGATTTGCCAGAGAAGCATTTCATTGATTTTTTTTTCTTCCAACATTGCGTTTTTGAGAGTGATTGATCAATGTGTTTGTTTGCTTTCTTTAAACTATTAATAAACACTGACAGCACACAAATCTACATAACTGACACTGTGCTATAAATGTAATAACTTACATGAATAAAAATGCCTTATAGAATCGGCCTGAAGGCAGAGCTTATGGTGCTTGAGTAAAAATATTAGTCGTGTGTCATCAAGTTTTTCATGTGCCTTCGATCAAGCACACACCAACATCATAACTGGGTGAATATATTCTCTTATTGTATTGTGTTTTATTCATTCTTTTACACAAACCTGTCTTTTTGACTCTTTAAGACAGCATTGACAGGGGATGGGTTATCACCTTGTAACTTTTGACTCACCCTTTCTTCCACTTGTCAGTCTGAGGTCGACATAGTTCATTAGAGAAATCTCTGACTCGCTTTGATGGTGTAAACATCAGTAAAACCAAAGCCTGCTTTTCATTATTTGTCTGTCACAGCTTTAATGGCAACTGAACCACTTGGTTATTTCTTTCCATCTACAAATTAATTTTCTCACACTGAATGAAATCAAATAAATAGCTTTTAGACAGATAAATAACAGTATAGAATATATTAAATTGCTTAATGTAATCACTACAGAGAGCAGACGTGCAGCTTTGCTCGTTCATCTCTAAAAGCTTGATTCGTAAATGTGTTTTTTTTTTCTTGTCTCTTCCTGCAGAAGATGCAGCACTAATGAGCACACCGCAGCCTTTAGATGAGTGAGGCACAACAAAACAACCTGAACATCAACAGTCTGCAGTAAAAGTAAGGCTCCATATCTCCTATTTTCCACACTCCAGAGCTGTCTTTGAATCATTATATATCATTATCATTATATACTTATACCCCCTACTTCAGATCTCCTTCAACCAAGATCCCCCCAGTGCACATCAACCTGCTTGTTGTTATGATCAGTGCTTTTCTGTATGATGATAGGAAGCTCTGACACCGTATGCCGCTCTGTATATTCCTGTCAGGGTCTCTTTGCTTTGTGATATAACATAGACAGGGTTGAGGTGAGATTTTGATGCATCCTGTGTATTTTCTTAGAACATGTATTTATGCTTGGTGGTGAAATACTTTCTACCTAAAAGACAACATTGGGATTCATACATTTCTGGTAAATATCTCAGCATAAATTAGACTTTCATAGCATACACTTTCAGTCAGCAGTTCCCAAACGTCAAGCCATGAAACCCCATCATAGCGTGTTTGTTTTCATCATGGTACCCGTCTGTCTACACCCACAGGCATGCATATGCCAGATATATTACTAATACCTAATATTAAAATGATGTGAAATGACATAAGCCTATTCTAATAACAAAATAGTCTGCTGTTTTATGTTGCTGTGCTGATTTGCAGATAAATATTGAACTGAATAAAGTTAATGTTAATTGATAAATGCTTTTGTTAGCTCATGTTTCGGCTTTTAAAGGACATAAAAAATTCACATTGTGTATTTGCTTTACTTCTTTTAAGTTGCTTGAAATATTCAATATATCTTTGCAGGCTAAAGAGGTGGTTTGTCTCAAGGTGTCTCTTGAGCTTTAACAGCATCATTACTGTCCACACAGCCGTGAGCAGCTTTCACTGTTGGCTCATGTTTGGTTGTGTCACCATTCTTTGAGCTCTGTTTAAAATGTCAAATCTTTCCATCACTGGTTTACTTGTCATTATTTCTGACTGCTATGCACCAAAACTTGTATGCTATAGTGTTACTGTGACAACCGGCAACCATGAACTTTTGTCACTAGTTTTATCCGTAGCATTGCTGCATATTTTATATGTAGTAGTTTTAAATATGGTGGTTCCGAAAATGTGTTGCTAATTTCTTTCATATTGATATGTTTGAAAATGGAATATAAAAAGATAGTTGTTAAAATGTGGGGAACCACTCATCTAGGTTTTATCATGCAGTGTAACACATAGGTATTATAATATACCTCCACTAAGTATCAATTATTAAATTAATAAATAGGAGATGAAAAGGAAACATTACATATCACAGCCCAATCTTCTTCATTTTTTGTGGCTCAGTTCATTGAGAGATGCTTCTGTCAGGTAAAAAGCCCAAATGACATATATGTCTTCTTCAATTTGAGGCATTATTTCAGAGGCACAGTCAGGACAGAGAGTGATAAAGAGGCACAGAAAAGGAGAGCTGCATGCTATAAAGTTGAAGCTTTGATGTTTTCTTGCATTGAGAATGGCAGTGTCGTAGAAAATGTGATCAAAGTTTCTTTTTCCTTTTTTTTGGCTAGACTTCACACAGAGTGGTGTGCCTCTGTTGCAGCACCTTGCTTACCATTTAAAAGAGGACAGTTTGTATGGTTGCTGGAGGTCTTTTATCATGCAAGTCCCATCTGAGCTTCTGTGGACCTTTTGGCTTGTATTGAGTGCCTTGTCTGCATCTCATGCACTGCTTGTATAATTGAGTGTCAGTAAGAGTAAACACGACCTGAAAAGTCTTTTTATAAATAGTTTGAAAATAGAGCTCCCATGTAGTCAATACTGTACATGTAAAACCGTTGCTGACAGTAAAATATGGCCTTGTGTAAATGACTTTCGCCAGATTTTATGTTGAAGCTAGGGAGTGTCTTATCATGCAGAAACAGGAGTGTAGATTGGAAGTAAATTATTGAGGTAGATGTGGGCCATAAATGGGCCAATTTAAATGTTTCTTTAAGATTTATGACAGTGTCACCCCAGCTAAAGCTGCATTTTTATTCCCTATGAAACATGTCCGCAATCCTGAGGCAATTGCAAATGTAGTGGATACTCGCTATCACACACTGTATTACACAGTTTTGGTTTCCTCTCTTTTTTTCATCATTTTTTTATAAACTACTTTGTTCACAACTTGAAAGCTTGCTTTATTCAAAGAGCCTTGTGGAGTAAAGAGTGTATTCTGGAGAGATTAAAGAAGAAATCATTTAGAAATAAGTGTTGGATTTGAGAAGGGAACGAGCATAGTTGTTGCTGTCTGAGACTGAGCATGAGTATCCATTCACCATGGCTTTAAATGATAGGCCTTGACAAATCTGTACAATCTTTATCCAAACCATTTGGAGAAGCTGTCATGCTCCTGCCGACATGCTGTGCTTGGTCAGCGGTTTCCTCCCCCCAGGAATTCAGATAGTCAAGGATCAGACTTCTCCATCAGAGCTTCATCCAGAAAAAACACTCTTGACAGTAACTATGACCCTAGTCAGTCATGCACTATGTATATGTTGACTGCTGAAATGAACATTAAGAACATTGTGGGCTGTTGCTGAACCTGCAGCTTACATTATTTATATATATATATTTAAATAATGTAGTTTTTCAGGATAAGATCTACTTTTTTCTGATCCACTACGTTTGATATGTAGCATTTTGTAATGAAACCATTCAGATGTTATTCCTAAACTCCCTTCTTAGTAGTGCCAGTGATAATTCTTGAAGGAATATTTGGAAACATGCTTATTTGCTTTGAGCGTGAAATGAGAAAATCAATTGTAGCAATCCCTCGTTCATTCATTCATTCATTCATGTGTGCTGCTATTTGGTTTTCCTTTTCCCCATTTCATGTTGGATGAATTGCAAACATTCCTCTGGGTTGATTAGAGGATCATTCAGATCACCTGTTGCATAGGGGGTGGGGACTGACTCCTCAACAGTGATGAGCAGCTTGGTGGTTCTCCTCTTGGCCAATCTGGGTCTGACGACGCCCATTCTTGAAGGCATAGGAGATGTGGGGAACTCACCCAGGGGCATTCTGATCCTTCCTCTATTCAGTGCAGAACTCACACTATGAGACATAGTCAGCCTGAAACTGTTATTCAGAACCCCTGAGATTTCTTTGCTGTCTTTCTTGTTGTCAAAGTGATTGAGAATTGTCACTAAACACAGAGTGAACATTGCGAATAGTGCCTGTGCCAGGGCAGTCTGGTGCAATTTGTTCCTTGTCTTCCAATTATCTGCTGCCTGCAGGCTTAATTATTTATTTGTGGTGTTTTAAATGAACCCCTTACCCATTTTTACCTTTTATCGAAGAGGCATTATTTATTTATTGAACAGTCACTGAAGAGCCATTTGTTATTTGTTGCAGAAGAAGCATTTTTTCCATTGTTTTCATTCAAGTCCAAGTGTTTTATTTAAATTATTTTCATTATGTGGTTGGGAACTGATTCTCATGCTCCTTTTACTTCAGTTGAGACTTGAGGAATCAGTACCACCACACAATATCAATCTCATGTCTGCATTAGGTGCAGAGCAGGAGAATGTTGTTAGCATAGCATTGCATAGCATAAAGACCAAATGAAAACAGGTAGCTTGGCTCATTCCAAAGTTAAAAATGCTTCCAAAGCTGCCATCTGTCGTCTTTTTAGGGGGAATCATGTTGGAATTATTTCTTGAACAGTCCTCACAATACTTCTGTGCAGCTGTAGCACAGATGTGTTTTACAGATATGGCCAAGTACAGAAGTGAGGTAAGGTTTTGGTATCTGGACCAAATCTGGCAACATCAATGTGATGACAAGACTTTGGAAAGCTGTGCGCAAACACTGTACCCAATTGTTGTTTGCCAAGAAATAGTTCCCCTAGGTTTTGAGACTAAACAAAAAAACAAAGAAAAATGCATGTCATAAAATTGTGCTGCAAGAGCAAAATCTTGGTAGAACACAGAACTCCGCCAAAGTCTTTTGTTTCTACAGTGATGTTTGTGGTGGCTGTTATGTATTCTTTTATATTTAGTCATAGTCCATCATTCACTCACTCACAACTTCAGTTCATTTTGCCAAAGACACCAGTGTTGACCTTTCGACCTATCTTGCAATGTTAACAAAAGCAAAAAATAATTTCAGTATCCATCCCCGGTTTCCAAAATTAAGTTTTTTTCCTTGGCCCATGTTACAAGTTTTATGAACATCAGGCCCACAGTTTTTCCGTAATCCAGACAAACAAACAAACAAATGGCTCCAAAAACATAACCTCCTTGGTGGAGGTAATAAATGTCGGGGAAATCGTTTCAACTCCATGTAATTGCCAAGTTAGATCAAGGTTTGGCACTGCAGCTAAGATTCTATTCATTTGGTTCGAGATGCTTTGTTGCAGGGATTGTGATGGGATTTCTCTTTCTGAAGCCCTCTTCAAGTTTTCCTCCTCTTTTTCTCAGTAGTTTCTTTTTTTTCTTGATTGGGGTACTTATCTTAATTAGATTTTGGTGGCAGATTCTCTGGAGACTCCAACACTGGGGTATTATTTTGGGGGGGGGGGGTTTCCGCATAAGTTAAGCATTATGAGGCCATTTTAGCCTGTGAATGTGATTAGAAGCAAGTCAAATATATGTTGACTCATAATGTAAATGTGTTTTTTTTATTATTTAAAAAATCAGTTCTGACAAAAGCTTCATCAGCCTATAATTAACTTTCTTCATTAGTTACCCAGATGTAGCTTTGTCACAGATTGAATCCTTAATTACCACTATCAAAAATAAATAAAATATGTCATAATTTCAGATTGTAGCTCAGAGCACCATGGATTTTAGTGACCACATGCTTTCAAAAGAGAAGTTCCCCCAAATTTTATTTTATGGTCCAACAGGGACTATTTCTAGCTTCATTGCACAACTTTCAGCACAGTTCCTTGGGGTATTTCTGATATGCCTCACAAGTATGGAAAATAGGAGAGGATACTGAACAGGGTTATGTAATTATAAGCATTAAATGGAAGAATAGATAATTCTCCAAGGTTTAAAAACAGATGAAAAAAATCTTGCTG